TGATTATTTTGATAGAATAATTTTTGATAATGTGAGGTTTCTTAGAAATATAATTATCACCTAAAAGGATGGGCTTATATCATTTTTGTTTGCATGTTTGCAAACTAATTTAAAAGGATCAGTATTGGGGCGCCTGGGTGGCTCAGTCGGTTAAGCGTCTGACTTCAGCTCAGGTCACGATCTTGCGGTCCATGAGTTCGAGCCCCGCGTCGGGCTCTGGGCTGATGGCTCAGAGCCTGGAGCCTGCTTCCCATTCTGTGTCTCCCTCTCTTTCTGCCCCTCTCCCGTTCATGCTCTGTCTCTCTCTGTCTCAAAAATAAATAAACGTTAAAAAAAAAAATTAAAAAAAAAAAAGGATCAGTATCCTATAAATGCATCCGTTATATTCACATTTTCTTCTGTTAAATGATTTGAAAATAATTTTCCAACTTATGGAGAAATAAAGCCCCATTGGGATATTGATTAAAATTTAACCGTAACCTAGAGTATGATGATATCTTAGCAATATTCCTAGTTGTCATTTAGGAGCATAGGATGTCTTTCCAGTTATTATTAATGAGGTTTTATAGTTTTTCTTAAATAGAGAATTTCGGGAACCTTCCTAGGTGTTTTGTGTCACTTTGTTGTTGTGATTGGCTTATTTTTTCCTTTCGTAAATATTTCTCCTTTGGTAATGATCTTTTAGATTTTTATTTCATGACAGCTTCTCTGTTGAATTTAGATAAATTGATACCGTTTTTCAGTTGAATGTCTTGTATTTTCCAGGAAGCTATGCACCATGGTATCGTAAATGGTTCTAGGAAAGGGAAGTAATAGTGAGTTCTCAGTTTTCCCTTTATTTTTACCTTGCTGAAGGTAGTTGACCCACGCCTAGGAGGTCATTCTCAACGTTTTCTCCTCTGATCCTCTCCGAGCTTTGTTAACATCCTACAAGTATTTCTGCATTTCAGAGGCCTCCTATTCAGTGGCTATGGAGAGGTCACCACTGCCCAGTTAAGCTTACGTGATTGGATATTTCTGTTCTTGGGCCTTTCCTTCTCAGGTGTACTATAGGTCTGAAGTCCTTGCAAAGACTTTTCCAGATTGCTTTTGGAGGCGGGAGTTATGTGAGGAACAGAAGGCCTCCACGCTTCTCTTGGTCCCCAGGCCTCCACGGAGCCTGGGACGCTCGTTACCTCACAGGAGTGACAGCACAGCTGGGGGACCTCCAGCTCAGGCTCTGGCTTCCCAGCGCGCCTGGCTTTCCTCTTTGTGATGGAGAAGATTTGAATGGGGTCGCTTGGCCCCAGCTAGGAAACGGTGCTGCTTCACCTGGGCCTTAGCATTGGCCTTGCAGAGTACGGTTTTCCCGCATGTGGCTTCTATCTGTAGTTTCTGGAGAAAAGCCACGGGCAGGCGTTGGATCATGATGACGACTACACAAATGAGTCTGGCCTCTGATTTCCTCATCTGCTGTGTCCCCAGTGGTCGCATCTGAGACCCTGTCCTCCCTAGTGTTAGCATACTGTGGAGATTGTCTCTGTGTCTCATTGCCCTGTCTCCTGTCTCGTCCATTTCCCCCTCAAAGTCTGAGTCCCTGGCATCCAGATTTTCTACCTTGAGCATGAGCTGTGCCAGGGGCACCCCTCCCTTCCTTCAGGCGAGGGGTGAACCAGGGACCCTCCAGGTTGGCCTTGCGTTTCCAGCGACCCCAGTGCACTCCTCCACCGTGGGCAGGGTCTCCCCGTCTTCACCCCTGGCCTTCACTTCTGCCCTCGTGATGCTGGGTTTCCTAACACCTGCCCGTGGCTGCCTGTGTCCGTCCGCACATTTGCCACCATGGAGAATCCACTCAGAAGGCTTCTGAACTAAGCCCACGCCCTCTGTGGTTTTGGAAAGCCAGAGTGTTTTTCCTTGTAAACTTCTTTCTTCAGGTTTCTTCCTTCTGACTCATCGGTGCCCCGCTGATGGTGGCACCCATGTCCCTATCACTTCTGGTTTGGATTTTGTGGCAGCGGAATGGGCCTCCTGCTCATTCTTAACTAAAGCATCTGCCTACTGATGGCTGTCTGGCTTTCTGCAGCCTAAGAGTAAATCAGGTGGATGGCGAGATCATAAATGGCCTTTATTCCTTCCTTCTCGACCCTGAGATTTGTGGACTCATCCCTGAGGTTTTCTCATCGCTTGACCTGGAAAGGTGCCGCTTCACCGATCCAGGACCCCAGCTTGGCTTTACGGGAGAATCGCCAGGGGCTCCTAAAGATATCGTTGCTTAGCTCTCTTCTCAAGGTCCTGATCTAACCGGTCTAGGGGGAGGTCCAGGTATTAGAAAACAGACAAGGAGCCCCACAGATGACAGTGTGCGACCAGCGTGTAGAACCCTTGCGAACAGAGGGAGGCTCCCGTTCCCTTCTTTCCCTGGACCTCTCTTCTGGAACCTGTGAGACCCTCCGGCATGACTGCAGCTTGCTAGTGTGTTTATCTCCTAACCCTGGTTGAGGAACATGACAGAAAAAATCCTGGCGAATCTCACGTGATAATGACCTGCTTCTGGCAAAGGTCTGCACACCGAGCCTCTGTTCATTCTGAGATTCATTTGTTTATTCAATGGCCGGGAGTTGAGTGTCTGTCAATGTGACGGGACTATTCCAGGTGCTACAGGAACGGTTTGACAAGGATGTATCCTTATGGGGCTGAGAGTTGGTGGTTCTGTTCTGGCCCGAATAACGAATTCCTGCCCTGTGAGGACCCTCCTGCCTGTTCCGCGGGCAACGCTGCCTCCTGGCACACGGCTGGGCTTTCCTGCTCGCCTGCGCATGACACCCTAAGCCCTCCACACTTGGCCACGTGTCATTCGTGGCTCAGAGAAGCGAGCAGGACCTGGATCTCTTGACCTACCAATCAAACTAGGCTGTAAGAGACACTGGCAGTGCTGGTAGCCCCAGGCCCCTCTGCCTCCTCTTTTAAGGAGCTTGGCTGGGCCATGAACCTAGAAGCTAGAACCCTTATTGGGCTCACTGGTGAAGGGTGAACCAAAGTCCAAGACTAAAGCCAGCCCTGGATGGCCTGCTCCTGACTGCTTTCTCCAGGCCTACATCTTGGCCTTAACCTTGTCACTCTAACTGAAGGAGTAAGTTGTTGAAGAAATTCATTTAGGGAAGAAGAGAGTTTGCCACCTTCCCTAAAGCCTGGAGCGGTGGGGCCACAGAGCCCACTCCTGTCTCCCTTTCCCTTGGCCCTTGGTGCTGCTGAGTCATGGGGGCACCGAACCAGCTGAGGTGACATCTAACCCCACCAGCTGCAGGACGCCGGGAAAGATTGGAAACCAAAGGGAACAGTTGAAAGGATACCAAAGTAGGCAAGCTATTGAAAGCCTGGATCTAAGGGTGAGTTCTTTGTGTAATTCCCGACCGTGCCTTTTCTGGGGGGTGGGGCCTCTCTAAGTACGCTCATCTGTGTGCTCACGTGGAGAGCTTGCTCTCTGGAGGTCAGGACACTTAGTGCCCACGTCTAGGCAAGGGCGCCCTCCCTCAAAATAGCTTGTAGACTCAACACGTAGTTCAGTGGTGTTGGCCATTTGTCAGTAACGTTTTGCACACAGAATTGTGTGTGGCTTATTTTTTTGGATTGTCATGATAGCAAGTGTTCAGTTTTTCTTCAGAGCAGATTTGATTTTTTATGCAAGAAATCACTTGGGGCACCTGGGTGGCTCAGTCAGTTGAATGTCTGACTCTTGTTTTGGCTCAGGTCACGATCTCACTGTTGGTGAGTTTGAGCCCTGCCTTGGGCTGTGTGCTGAAAGTGTGGAGTCTGCTCGGGATTCTCTCTCTTCCTCCCTCCCTCCCTCCCTCCCTGCCTCCCTGCCTCCCTCTCTCCCTCTCTCCCTCTCTCCCTCTCTCTCTCTCTGCTCCTCCCCCATTCACACTGTCTCTCAAAAATAAATATTTAAAAAAATATTTAAAATAACTCAGAATGTAATTTGTTGAATAAGCCCTGTGTGGAGGCTGTAAATTTGGTCTGAAGATAGTCTCCATCACAAAGTTCAGAAGGGCTTTGAGTAAAAGCAGTGTTGATTCAGTAAACGGTATCGAGCACATACTTGGGCAGGCACAGCTCTAGGCACAGGGGATACAGCAGGACTAGTGTTCTGGCTCAACAAGTTAATAAATAATAAAACATAAGAATAATAAGTTGCCAAATAAATACAATTTCTCGAAAGAGGTGCCACGAGGGGGATGGGATGGGGGAAACAGGCAGGGTTGCGGAGGGGACGGTAAGGAAGGCCAAACTGGAAAGAGCTGTCTGGGCTGAGACGTGTGTGATGCGAAGCACAGAGCCATGTCCCTGTGTGTCCCCGGCAGTGGCAGCAGTGCATTTTGCTCTAACGTAGAAGCTTGGCAGGTGTCCAGACCATCAGAGGAGCAGGGGGAAGAGTAGAGTAGATGAGAGCAAACGTTAGGAAATAAACCCGGAGATGTGAGCCCTGGATGTAAGGCTTGAGGGGCAGCAGCTGGGAGTTTTGAGTCTTGCTGGAATCTGTTCCTTGCTTTCTAGTGTCACTGTTCTGAAGAGTAATATGGATTCTATTTACATTTATGATTTAAGGCACACATTAATTAGCCAGTGCATGGGGGGTGGGGAAGAAGGTGGGGATTCTTGGATCTTTGTGGAGTACTGGAGCAGGAAAATGCCAGAAACCTTCAGAAGTGTTGCCTGGGTGATGAGTTCAGGTGCTGCAGGCAGATCTCGACAGGAGGGACGCTGACTCGTTAATTTGTTCCTCAGTAGCGTTTGAGTTTTTACCGTGTGTGTATTGTTTAAGAAGCTTATTTATTCATATACCACATGCGTGTGTGTGAGATTTTATTTTCACGGACTCAGTGTAGCTGTTGTGCTGGCGACAGTCTGTAAGACCCAAGCATTGGTACCCAAGTGCCTTCGACAAGTGAAATGTGCTTCTGTTTTCATAGATAACACTTCATTTTTCTACCTCAAATTACGTCTTTTCCTCCCTTCCCCAGGCGACAGAAACGGACGCCAAAATCAGAGTGTGCATCCGGGCCTACCATCTACTTGTGAAAAAACTGGGCTTTAATCCAAATGACATCATCTTTGACCCTAATATCCTCACGATTGGTACTGGGATGGAAGAACATAACCTGTATGCTGTTAATTTTATCCATGCCACAAAAATCATTAAAGTAAGTATGGGTGTTTTCTCTTTCCTCCCCAAGACATCACTCACATTTATCCCACGGCTCCAGTGAGTAGTTTGAGCTACATGATTATTGGCTGGGAATGTCGACATTTTACTCTTAGGTAGTAAATTGTTTTTCGGAAATTTAGGGGCCTTTTTTATTTTTCACGTATGTGTTTTACACTATGGAGTATAACATACCTACTGGAGAAAATATATAAAAGGTACAGAGTGTAATGAATAAATATGAATCACGTAGTGGTTTTTACATAGGTCATGAAATAGAACGTGCCTAGTGCTCCCATGACTCTCCCTTTCAGATTACGCTCTCATTCTGAATTCTATGATGTAACCATCATCCTGAATTTTATGATACCACTTTGTTGCTTTTCTTTAGAATTTTATCGCTTATGTACAGTCTGTATTTGCAAATTCACCCACTTGGTAAAATTTATTCGTGACCCCAGAATCAGTACTCATGGTACTTTTGCGGTCGTTCATGGACATGCCCGTGTGCAGAGAGGTGAAAAATTCAAGCGGCCCCACCTACACGTTCCCAGATGAGGTCAACAAGGACCTACTCTCCTGCTTTTCTCAGCTGTCATCCTGCAAACAAGCGTCCATTTCGTGGTCTATTTAAGTGCTATGTTTTTCACATTTTTGAGCATTTTCTTGGTAGCTTCTTTCCCTGTTTTAATGGCCCCCAAGTATAGTGCTGCAGTGGCATCTAATGTGCCTGAGTGTGGGAAAGCTGGACATGCCTTGCAGAGAAAATACTTGCATTAGGTAAGCTTTGTTTAGATGGGGCTTGTAGTGCTGTTGGCTGTGAGCTCAGTGTTAGTGAATCAATACTATACGTTAAACAAGATGTCTTTACACAAACACACGTAAGACAAGTTTATATATTGATGAGTAGATGAAAATTGTGTGACCAGAGGTTCACGGGAACAGAACTCTACTTTTCCCTCGGAGCAGTGATTCCGATATTCCTGGATTCATTGTTCACGGTGACTTTATGGAACAGAACTACCACAAATAATCAACTGTGTACCCAGTGCTTTGCCTAGTTTTGAGCTTAATATAAGAATCTTGGGGTCCCTGGGTGGCTCAGTTGGTTAAGTGTCCGACTCTTGATTTCGGCTCAGCTGACAATCTCATAGTTTGTGAGATTGAGCAAGGAGCCTGCTTAGGATTCTCTCCTTCTCTCTCTCTCTCTCTCTCTGTCTATCCCTAGCTTGCACACATGCTCTGTCTTTTTTTTTTTTTTTTTTTTTTTTTTTTCAACGTTTATTTATTTTTGGGACAGAGAGAGACAGAGCATGAACGGGGGAGGGGCAGAGAGAGAGGGAGACACAGAATCGGAAACAGGCTCCAGGCTCTGAGCCATCAGCCCAGAGCCCGACGCGGGGCTCGAACTCACGGACCGCGAGATCGTGACCTGGCTGAAGTCGGACGCTTAACCGACTGCGCCACCCAGGCGCCCCACATGCTCTCTCTTAAAAAATAAACTTTAGGGGAGCCTGGGTGGCTCAGTCAGTTAAGTGTCCGACTTTGGCTCAGGTCACGATCTATCTCACAGTTCATTGAGTTCAAGCCCCACATTGGGCTATGTGCTGACAGCACAGATCCTGGAGCCTGCTTCGAGTTCTGTGTCTCTTCCTCTGTCTCTGCCCCTGCCCCATCCCTTCTCACATTCTGTCTCTCCCCCCCCCAAAAAATAAATAAACATTAAAAAAAAACCTTTAAATAGAATCTTAAGATTTGTATGTCTCTTTTCCTTACCCAGACTTACTTAAAAGATTCATCTATGTTGTCATTATACTTTGTTCATTTTTATTGATGTATAATATTTTATTGTGTAACTGTTCCACAATCAACTGTTCTGCTGTTGATAGACATTTGGTTTGTTTCCAGTTTTTGGACCATACAAGCAGTGCTGCTGTGAACATTCTTGTACGTGTAATTTGGGTGCACGTGCATGAGTTTCTTTATAGCATACACCCAGAAGTGGGGTGCTTGGGTCACAGCAGTAGATAAGGTGAGCTGTCTCCCTGAGTGCTTGAGCTGGTGTGTACTTTGACCAACGTAAGGAGGGGTTCCTATTGTTCCACATGCATGCTCATGCTTGATATTGTCATCACGTGTGCTGGAAGCCTCAGTTTCACGTTGTGGTATAATCAGCCAAGTTTATGGTGAACTAGGGAGTTGGTTGATTTAGGCTACAGAAGCCTTCGAGTGAATGACCGACTACTCTGTCTCTCTCTGTGTTTTCCATCTCTGATTCTTTCTTTTCTCTGTGATTTATTCGGCAAGTATTTTATGGCACACTCACCATGTACTGTGGCCCCGTCCGGCTCCCTGTAGAGATGAAGTGGATACAGCAGAATCTTTTATCTTCCCATAGGGGATTAGAGCGTAGGAGGAAAGACGGTCTATGAAAGAGCTCCTGCGACGTCATGGTAGGGCAAGTTGAGTCTACGTCTGGCTCCAAGAAGCCCTGAATTACTTCGAACTTCACGTTTTTTACTTTCCGCTCTTGTATATGTAGCTTGAGGAATGTGATTGCTACTTTTGGCAAAATAGGGTAATCTTTTCACCTTTTAAATTTTTTGCTAGGAAACATTACCTGGAGCCAGAGTAAGTGGAGGTCTCTCCAACTTGTCCTTCTCCTTCCGCGGAATGGAAGCCATTCGAGAAGCAATGCATGGGGTTTTCCTTTACCATGCCATCAAGGTACAGTACAACACCTGTTTGCACTTGGAGCCAGTTTTTAATCGGGATAGGGGTTTGCAGATGTGCTGCAGCTTCTGTGGCTAACGTTTTATCTGTGCTTTATACGTCATCTGTGGCTGCTTTCACGGTACAGTAGCAGAGCTGAGTAGTTGTGACGGACACCGAATTTCCTTGGAAATTCTCATTTTTTTTTTCTTTGTATTGCCCTTAGTTTGGTATGGACATGGGGATAGTGAATGCCGGAAGCCTCCCTGTCTATGATGATATACATAAGGAGCTCCTCCAGCTCTGTGAAGATCTCATCTGGAATAAAGACCCCGAGGCCACTGAGAAGCTCTTACGCTATGCGCAGGTAGAGACAAAAGTGTTCTGACAGATGGCTTTTCCTGTCTGAACTCGTCACTCAGGTTCATTAGACCATCGTAGACTAGAAGCAAGTGTCTAATCCAGTCTTTGGATCACTTAATTTCTACAGAGAGTTCCAGAGAAGGTGTCTTAGTTAAGGGTAAGGAAGCAGAAGCAGGCCATACCCAGCCTGCTTCAGTGTTCTGAATTTAGGCTTCTGTACATTTATTTTAAAACGTACAATTAGGGGCACATGGGTGGCTCAGTCAGTTGAGTGCCCGGCTCTTTCTGCTCAGGTCATGATCCCAGGGTCGTGGGATCGAGCCCTACATCAGGCTCTGCACTGAGCTTGGATTGTGCTTGAGCTTCTCTCTCTCTCTCTCTCTCTCTCTCTCTCTCTTTCTCTCTTTCTTTTTCACTCTCTCTCTTTTTCACTCTCTCTCTGTCCCTCTCCCCTATTTGTGCTCTGTCTCTAAAAAAATTTTTTAATTTTTTTTAAAAATCAAAAAAATGGTGTATTTGTAAAAAAAATAAATAGAAGGTAAAATTAGTTTTTTCTCATACCAAAGTCACACATGTTAATTCTAGAAAATTTACAAAATCCAGATAAACAAAAGAAGAAAATAAAAATCAGAATCCTACCATCCAAAGTTAACCACTGTTGAGATTTTGTTATAACTTTCTAGTCACGTTTCCATTTTATGAGATATTTTTCTTCCTTGTAATTTAAATTAGCTATTTTGGATTTTCCTGTGCGGCTGTGTTATTTCTGGGTTCCCACTGTGACACGTTTATGTCTGTGTGCCTGACCGCAGGGTCTGGTCCACCTGTGGCAGCGTTCTGCATTTGAGGGCTTGTGGTCTGTTCACCTCTGATCTATAGACATGAGAATAATTACAGTGAGTCTGAAAACCGGTTCCTTGTTTCCCCTTATTATGTGTCAGGCAGTCCTGGGTACATTAAGTATGTGTCATGGGTGTGGCTTCCTACAGTTCTAAGAAAGATGAGATCTTTACCTCAAAAAAACTTTCTCATTTATTTCTGAAAGTGAAGGCAAAGGAGGACGTTAATGTCACAAAGCACGTTGTGAAGGTGGTAGAGTGCTCTCGTGGATGTTGTCTCCCTCATTAACCTTTTCTGTGTTAAAATCTGAATTTAACTCTGGCAGAGATGCTCACTTTGAGCTTCCATCGAAGAGTGAGTACTAAAGAGCTCTGGAGGAAGGCTAGGAAGGTTCAGGGTTAACTGCCTCCTTGTCAGCTTACAGGTGACAAGACTTAAGTTTCTGAAATTGCTGTGGGCTCATTGAAGCTCATTCAATGAGCTGTGGGCTCATTGAAGCGGAGTTCAGACTGTGTGCCAGTGAGCACAGGCTCCTCCTTCCCGTTCCTTAAACACATTTCCGATTTCTCTCGTGGGCCAAGGCCAGGATGGATCCGGTCTTGATTACCGCAAATATAATCAAGTTGTGCTTCTCACCTCATTGCATACGAAACAGTCTCTGGATCGCCCCCACCCCCCCTTTCCAGGACTGTTTCTGCTCATCTAGACAGAGTGCTTAGCCCTTTAATAGTCTTCAGACATCAAGAACCTGAGTGTGGAACGCTATTCAATTTTCTTCCGAGCCTGTCTTCCGCTGAGTGGGGAGACCTGTCCGTTAGTAACTCGGGGTTCCGGTGAAGCCAAAAGGGCATCCGAGTTTCTATAACCATGAAGTTATACCAGAGTGTTCTCACCCACACAGTGATGTGCTGTTTCAGTTTTTCCTTCACTGTCCAGATGAGCCAGCTCTCACGGAGGAAAGGTGGGAATCCTTGTGTGTAAGGCTGTTCTCATTTAAGGTTTTGTTGACTTTGTAGGTGATGTCAGTCCTTCTTTTCCATCTGTGTTTTAGAGTTTGCTTACAGATTTTTGTTTCTGTGTATCCTGCTGAGCTGTGAAGAGGTTTTGCCCCTGGGGCGCAGCCAAACTGAGGGAGATCTTAATAGCAATTGCAAGAGCTTAACAATCCATCATATAAGAAATTTCCTCCCTCTTAATGTAGCCACAAGGACTTACTACAAGCCATTGACCCGTCTGTCAAGTAGGCTGTCTACCTTCAAGGTGACTTCTGTTACCATTAAGGGAATTAATAACCAAAACAGGTATACTTTAATAAGTCCCACGAGTTGCCAGCTCTGTAGCGATTTCTCAGGATGTACCAAGTGCAAATGGAGCATAAAAAGCAGTGATATTAAGGGGCAAGTAAAGGTTGAAGATTTTTTTTTTTTGTAAGAAAATGATTATCTCTTCTTGTTATTAAACGATGCAGTCTGCACCCAAGTCCCTGTGTGATACCTTGTTGAACAGGTGGAAAGCGTCTTCTCTCTGATCTCCCTAAGCTCTCTAATCCCACTTTGGGGGAGTTAATTGGTTTGTTGAAAAATAATTCTTTTAATTGGGTGCAGACTGACCTGTGATGAATAAATTATTTTTGGTAATGACATCTGGAGATGGCATGGTACCATGTGATCTTTGAGCAGTTTCCTTACCAAGCAGTACCCTAATGGAGGTCATGACCCCTTTGGGCTGGAAGGATCTCTGTTCTGAACATAGTCGTTCGTGAATGACCTTGGATTGTGAGACTGTTCTTAATACTTTTCTGTGAAAAAAGTTATCTGATCCTTCATCTAGCCTTCATCTTCCTCATTGCCATTGGAGGTCGCCTTCTTCTCTGTCTTCCTCTGGAGCAGTTTACTCCCCTTGATTCCAGAAACGAAGCAGCAATCACCGTGAAGACCCTGTGACACAGAAGCTCCCTTAGAGCGGTAGATATGGATACAAGGAGCAGCCAGATGGACATGACAGTTGATTGGTCGCTTTACTTGGTAGCTTTGTATTTGCTGAGCTTCCACAGTGGGTCTTGTGTGTGTTTCACCTGTGAGGCATTCTGTGTTTCGCTTGTGGTGAACATCCTGTTGAGTAACTAGTTGGAGAGCAAGGTGGACTCCGCGTGCCATGTTGTGCTTCTGAAATAGCCGCCCTCCAGTGTCCCTCTTGCTTGAAGCACTGATTTTCTGCAGCACGTTCATTGGGTGGGGTAGTTTTCATTCGCTGCAGCCGCCAGCGCTTTGGTGAAATCCTCACTGGCCTTCCCTGTGTCCTCATTGGCCGCTGTTGGTAATCACGTTCTGTCTGAACCCCTCCCCACCACGTAAGTGCTGCACACCATGGGGTTTCTGTGGACACACCAGGTCCTTGTTCCAAGAGTGTTTGCAACACTGCCCTGTTTTCACTCCTCCAAGTCCACCCCGCAGGCAGGAATTGTCTGATGGCTCATAGAGCAAATGGGGTGTTCTGTGTGTCAGGTGACATGAATGTGAGCTTTAGCAGGGCTTTTTCTTTTCTCTTTCTGTTTCCTTCTGCAGTGCCACACAGCTCTGGTTTTGTGGGTTTTGCCATCGTCGTGGCTGGACAGTATGACTTCGTATGCCTCTGCCACATTTTCTGGATCTGTCTATCCACCAGCGGACATTTAGTTTGCTTCCGTGTCTCGGCTCCCGTGACTCATGCTGCAAACTATTCTTTTTAAATCGCCATCTTTAGCTTTTCCGATAGGTGAGGAGACCCTTGTGCCATCGTTACTGCAGTGAGCACCCCAGCCCTGCAGTTCTGGGGTTCTCCCAGGTCCTTCCGTCTCTGCTTACACATGGTCTGTCGCTTAATGTCTTTGTGTTTGTCTTCTTCCTTCCTGTTACCAACATTGTAGTAGTCCAGGCCTTTATCCCGGACTGTTAAAACCTCCCCCTTCTGGGCTTCTCTTAAAAATACTGCTTCGTTATTCTGCAGCTTCAGAACTTTGAATTTTGTCCTGCGCCCCCACCCCTTGCCCCCGCCCCACAGTTGCCTGTGAGGTTAAATCCAGGCTCCATCACATGGATTTGTGGTGCTCCGTGACTTGGCCTCTACTGTCCTGTATAAACACTGCTGCAGAAAATCTGGTTTTGTTCAGCATTAAACCACTCAGCCAGTATTTACTGAACTCTTGTTCTGTGCTGTGTACCTCACTGAGCCTGGAGGATCCAAGTAGTAAGAGAGATGTGCTCTGCGGTTGAGTGAGACGCACAGAAAGGCACAGCACAGGTGTAATCCAGCGCGGTGAGTGCGGGACGCCGTGAGAATGCATAGGAGGGACACTGAACCTGAAGGCGTACAGGTGGTCGGGGAAAGCCTCCCAGAGCCGAGGGTCAGGGGAGGCCTGGAAGCTAGAGAGGAGCGAGCCGGCGGGCGAGGATTTGGTGTTGGAGTGCGGTGCTGGTGGTCCCCCAGGGAGGGGCATTTGCATGTAGTGGGTGGGGGTCTGGCCCATAGGTGGGTGCTGAGTGAATGCGTGTCAGGTGAATGACTGTGAAGGCCCAGGGGCAAGGGAGATGATGGGGAGTGTGAGGAGCTGCAGTGTTTGGGTAGCTGGGCTCGCTGGGCTCGCTGGGCTGCTGGGCCGGCGGGGCAGAAGACGCAGCCGATGCGGTCAGGGGGAGAAAGCCAGATTGGCGCGTGGCACGGCCCGGAGCGGAGCCGTGGCCAGAGGTCCTTGGCCTAGAAAGGGAATATATCCCTGGAAGAATAGGACACCTACAGTGAATTTTTTCACGGGGGTGGGGGGGGAGGTGGGGAACGGGGAGGGGTGCTTCGTGATTTGCATTTTAGATAGGCCCCTCTGGTTCCAGTGCAGAAGGTGCACTGGGGTCGGGGCGGCTGTGGGCTGCAGAGACCAGCTCACGGCTCGGACCTTGGAAGCTCGGAAGCACGGCGGGGAGAAATTAAAAAAAAATTTTTTTTAAATTACTATTTCTGAGACAGAGCATGAGTGGGGGAGGGGCAGAGAGACAGGGACACAGATCTCAGGCAGGCTCCAGGCTCCAAGCTGTCAGCACAGAGCCCGACGCGCGGCTTGAACTCACGAACCGTGAGATCACGACCTGAGCCGAAGTCAGTCGCTCAACTGACTGAGCCACCCAGGCACCCGGCGGGGAGAAATTTTGAGGGCTCGGTGAGTGACCGAAAGAGAGGAAGGGATGAATGTTCACAAATGTACTTAGATTTTTGGTTTGGGCAAGTGATGCCACCACTTGAGATGGAGAAACAGATAACGCCATGCAATTCACCCCACGGACCACGGTCATTGCACTTTTTGTCCCTTTGCTGAATCTGTCCGTTTCCTCAAAGTCTCTCTCCCCCCCGGGTTTGTGGTGACGACTCATTCCTCGAAACCCTGGGTCTGGTTTGTAGCACGTAGTTGTCTGGATCATCTACTCATCCAGCCCCTGGCACGTGCTTTCTCTGCTGGCTCCCCTTCCGCCTCCTTACAATGTGGCGGGGTCCTTGAGAGCGTGGGCCGTGTCTTGCACCCCTTGGGTGTGCCCGCGTCCTGGGTGCTGTGCGACTCGGCACATGACGGCCTCTCCACATGTATTTGTGGGTAGTGATGCTCCACGTGGAGGCCTTCGGAGGCCCAGCACATGTGAGAACAGCTTCTCTTTCTGCCTGGCCATACTTCGTTTGAAATTGCTCTCTTAGGAAAGGAGGAACAGAGCCTCATTTTATCCTTCCACCACAAGCTTAAATCCTAAAACACCTCTCCTTGTCTCTGTCCTTCCCTCAAACATTAATTGAGATCTTAATTCATGCTGGACACTCAACTAGGCACCAGTAATATAAAAGTAGAATAAGCCATAGTTTTCTGCTGTGAGGGCTTGTTGTACCCACTCTCTGTCCTAATTTCAACTCAGACTCATGGCAAAGGAGGGAAGAAAGTCGTCCAGACTGACGAGTGGAGGAATGGCCCCATTGAAGAACGCCTCGAGTATGCCCTTGTGAAGGTGAGCTGTGGGAGCACGGGGTGGGTGAGAACAGGCTGGCTGGTGGAGCCTTGCGGTGGTTGCTGGAGGGGAGATTCCCTAGACCACTCCTGAGCAGTTTGGACACTGTCCCCCCCCACGGAGCACAGTTGGCGGTGTCTAGAGGTAGCTTTGGTCATCACAGTAGGGGGTGGGAGGTGTTCCTGGCATCCAGTGGCCGGGGTTACGGAAACCTCCTCTAGTGCACAGGACGGGCCTGCGTGACAGAGAATTATTCAGCCCAGAACGTCCGTACTGCCAAGGTCGGGAAACGCTGTTCTAGACCAAGTTGCGGTCATTTGATCCACGAGCAAGTCCTGGATCTTCTGCTGATAATTTGGACTTCAGACAACATAAGTTCTTGGCTTCGGTGTCCTCATTTGTGGTTCGGAGAACTTCCGAGTTCTCTTTTTGGCTCTCGAATTTAACTTTCAACCTCTTGACACTTTTTTGAGATGCACATATTTCAGGTTGTGGAATCACTGAGCCACATTCAAGGGACCTTGAACTGGGGACACCGAGGATTAGGGCTTGATCAGTGAAGGCTGGGTGAGTCAGCGGAGGCTTTGTGGGTTTGGACTTCACCTAAGGGTCCTGCCCACTGTCATTCCTCCCCAGCCCCAGAACTTTACCTTGACAACACACACTGCTTCCACAGGAGGTCGTTAGTAAGGCATACTCTGCTAAACGTTCAGGTAGGACGCAGTGTATTTTATGATGAATTTGGACTTTACTCACAGTATTCCTTCTTTCACTTCTGCATACTTTTAGGGAGTGCTTACCCTGTATCAGTAAAGCCAGCTGAGCACTTTACATAGGTTATTTCATTTAATTCTCAAAACTAACCACATGAGGCAGGTACTGTGTGACAGTTTAGGAAACTGAGGCTTGATAAATTGCTGAGATTAGTGACCCAGGATTTGAACCTGTGTACTCTAATTCCAAAACCTGTACTCGTAAGCATTTCTGTGATTCATTCTTTATTGACTGGCCTTAGGCCAATTTTTAATGTGATTTTTATCCTTTTTTTAAATAGGGTATCGAAAAACATATTATTGAGGATACTGAAGAAGCCAGGTTAAACCAGGAAAAATATCCCCGGCCTCTGAATATAATTGAAGGGCCTCTCATGAACGGCATGAAAGTTGTCGGTGACCTTTTTGGAGCTGGAAAAATGTTTCTGCCTCAGGTTGGCAAAAGATGGGGGTGGTTTTCACAATTGAAAGAAAAAGACTTTGTCTTTTAGTAAATAGTAAGTTCGGGTAGATTTCTCAAGTTTGAAGTTTGACAAGAGCTCGTGGGCACTGAGATGTGGTCAGTCTTTCTGTAAATGTCCCTACGAGTGACATCCGGGAGGTCCGTCTTCAGGGCGATGTGCAGGCTAGAGGTTAGAGGTCATCTGGAAATCCTTTGCTTTGTGAGGAGGAAGTGCCACCACATCTTACTCCCAGCACCTGTCTGCTCTTCCCCAAATTAAAATAAAACCCCCGCTTCATGTAAAGTTAATAACGTCAGCATTTGATTTGACCAGCCAGTATTCATTTTGAAGGATGCGTTTAGAATAGTGATGAACATTAAATTTTATGTTTCGAGAAACCAGAACTCTTATTTTGATTTATAGGGGATACTAACCATATCAGTTAACAAAACGTCTGTGGGGCCATCAGGGTTGGGGCTGCGAGTCATACGGAACAAGGCCCTTTTTGGTTTTTCTAATTACTCTTCCTGTATTTAACTAAATGCCCACTTTCTTTCATAACATTCACCCTTTCTCTAACAGCTTTTTTTGTTGTGTGATTAACATACAATGAGGTGCATGTTTGTGGAGGAGACAGTGTGAAAAGTGTTCACACATATGCACCAGCCAAACTACCACCACACACGAGACGAGGAACGATTTGTGGTCCTGTCTTATCTCTTCCAGCCTGTGACAGTTCCTCAGTCTTTGTTTTTCATGACGTTGACTTACTTTTAACTTTGCATTTTTAAGGTGACATTAGACAGACACACTGCAAACATACCTTGAAAAATGGCTTGTATATCCCTCCCCCAGCTTCTTCCCCAAAGGTAAACATTTTTCCTTGACCTGAGTGCAGTTAACAGCGGTGTAATGCTGTTAAATAAAGACCTTGCTCAGGTTTAACCAGATTTTTTTTTTTTTTAATGTTTGCTTGTTTTTGAGAGAGAGAGAGGAGGCAGAGCATGAGCTGGGGAGGGGCAGACAAAGAGAGGGAGACACAGAATCCAGAGCAGGCTCCAGGCTCCAGGCTCCAGGCTCCGAGCTGTCAGCACAGAGCCCGATGCGGGGCTCCAGCCCACCAACCTCGAGATCGTGACCTGAGCTGAAGTCGGATGCTTAACTGGCTGAACCACCCAGCTGCCCCAGATTTCACCAGTTTTCCCACTACTGTTTTCTTTTTATTCCAGGATCCCACACTGCTCTTATCCTGGTCTCTCTGACAGCTCCTCAGTCTTTCCTTATGACCTTGATTTTTGAAGAGTGCAGCACAGTTTTTATATAGCTGCCACTCAGTTTGGGTTTGTCTGATGTTTGCTCATTTTTGGCAAGCATAAGGGTGATGCTGTGCCCTTCTCAGTGGATCCTATGAGGAGGCCAAGAATGTTGCTGTGTCTCATTACTGGTTATATTAACCTTGATCATTTGGCTAATGGTGTCTGCTGGGTTTCTGCTCTGAGAATTCACTTGGAGACGGTGCATTGTACTCCCACCCGTGAACATTAGCATACGTTGATGGATTCTGTAAAAGGCCCCGTTCTTGCTTCAGCATAAGCCTTAATTATAAGTGAATTGTAGTGCTGGGCAGCAAGACGGGAAGGCTGAGAAGGGGCTCTGGTGAGTGGAAAAGGGCACACAGAACTTGGAGAAGTGATGGGCGGCCTTCTAGGCTGAGAAACAATAGTGTGCAGAGAGGTTCAGAGGACAGGAATCGCAGCACGGGGGTCCTAGCCTTGTTTTCCTTCTGTGCCTCGTTCATTGTCTTTCTCCACGAGGAACTCATTCCTCATCCTGTCTGCTGTCAAAAGTGGACTCCGGTGTGGCTGACCCGAGGCCAAAGCTTGCGTTCTTCATTTATGCTAAATTAAGAGGCTACGAGGGGCCAGTAGCAACCATTCGGGGGGTTTGGTAAAAGATGGTGGACTCTGTGTATTTTTCCTAGGTTATAAAGTCAGCTCGAGTCATGAAGAAGGCCGTTGGCCACCTTATTCCTTTCATGGAAAAAGAAAGAGAAGAAAATAAAACGCATGCTGGCATAGAAGAAGAGGAGGCAAGTCATTTGTCCAGGCTGGTGGGCCCTGGGAGGAATTGGCCTCAGAGACGGTTACTGGGTTGGGGTAGGGACCATGGGGCTTGGCTGTGCCTGTCACTGATTGATAAAATAGAGCGGTGATCTCTTTTAGCAGATATCAGAATACCCTGGGATTTTCCTCTGAATGTGGCTCTCTGAATTTTTAATATGAGTGTAGTTTTCCAAACCGAGCCCGTGATTTCAAAACAAAACCACTCTGTTTATCTGTTGACCGTTCACAAGGCTCCTACTGTGTGCCAGGTGCTGTGCTAGACACCGTAGCTGTAGAGATCGGTCCCTCCCCTTGAGGTAACTGAGTCAGGTTTGGCTTTGGAAAACCTCTTCACTGATTTTTCTCTGTATACTGGTAATGTCCTTGGCACTGCTTCCGGATCCAATTTAAATCTTGTTGGCTGTGCCGCCAGAGTCAGTCATGAAGCTTTGACCTTGTTCAGCTCCCTGAGAAGCTCAGCCAGCTTTGGCCCGTGGGATTCTGAATCCTTAAATTGGTGTGAGCTTGTGAATGGCTCCAACAGACCTCCCACTTGCCTTGTGTGCCTTTTCCTTTTCTTTTTAAAAATTAACTAATTAATTGAGGGAGGGGTTGCTGGCAGGGCTTAGGACAATGGTATTGAAGAAACAAAAGATAATTAAATGCTGTTGAGATGGTGGTTCAGATTCTGATGAGGCTTCTCCCTCTGTTCCCCGCCTCTCCCTTTTCTTCTCACAATAAATATTTCTCAGACAGTGTTTTTGCAGTTTAAGATCTGTCGTTCAGCTATGGGACCGTGTTGGATTCGAACTTAAACTGTTCTTCGAGGTGATGGAACCCATGTTTGAAGTTCCCTGAGCTCCCCTGCTAGGCAGGCTGCCTTGGAACTGCTCGGGGGCACAGCTTTGTACTTGCAGAGCATGTGATGTGGGTTCTGGGTCAGTCTCTGGGGTTGTATTAGAGTGCTTTCTGTGGCAACACTTGTCTGCTTCTAGAGATTTAAGTTGGTCTGTTCTAAGTGACCACAGCAGTGCTCAGCTGCTTGGTTTGCTCCCCAGGACCCCTACCAGGGCACCATCGTGTTGGCCACCGTGAAAGGGGACGTGCACGACATAGGCAAGAACATAGTTGGCGTTGTCCTTGGCTGCAATAATTTCAGGTGAGTCAAGACCCACCTCTCTCATCCCCTTTCTTATTCAAAAATTAAAGCATTTGCAGCAATGATTCTGTATTGGTTGGGAGGGGTAGGGTCCAGCCGTGGATGTTGGAGGTTATTTTTAATTTCTGTTTCCTGACTGTGTTTTTGCACTTCCACAGTGAACACACCTTTTCAAATGAAATAAATGAGTAAGTTTGTCACCTGTTAATCTGGTTGAAAAGGACAAAAGGAACAGTAAAAATTATTCAAGCCAGATCAGAACAACCAAGAGGCTTCTTGAGAATTGACCTTGGGCCAGAGGCTCTAATTACTAGAACACTGGGCTCCTGCCTGCAGCCCGTGGCCTAGAGCGGGTTCTCTTTTTCTCCTCAGTAAACGATGGCAGTCTTAGAGCGGAGATCTTAGAGCTGAGACTTTGGCTAAATGGGGTTTTATAAGAAGGCTTTTTTTTTTTTTTTTTTTAATTTTTTTTTTTTCAACGTTTATTTATTTTTGGGACAGAGAGAGACAGAGCATGAACGGGGGAGGGGCAGAGAGAGAGGGAGACACAGAATCAGAAACAGGCTCCAGGCTCTGAGCCATCAGCCCAGAGCCCGACGCGGGGCTCGAACTCACGGAGCGCGAGATCGTGACCTGGCTGAAGTCGGACGCTCAACCGACTGCGCCACCCAGGCGCCCCTAAGAAGGCTTTGACTGTACAATTCTCTCCTTCCTCTGCTTAGAACAGGACTGTGCATGCCTCTTGGAAATGATGAAGCTAGATTTTGGAATGTACAGAAGTAAAATCTCTTGCTGATGTGTCTCTTTAGAGTGGATAAATATTCAGCACTAAGTTATTTCCATGTGAGAGCTGATGACCTATAGTAAGTGTATGTTTTGCTCAGATTTCAACACATTCTTTATGATCCAAAGCCTAATACAACTAATGCCTTCTCTGGTCCATGTCCAACCACAGTCCCTGTGAGTCATAGACTTCCTTCCAACGTACTCTGTCCTCTCTGAAGAAGAGAGCCAGGCCTGTGGCACAGCCGTGGCCCCTCACGGGTCTCTCCGGCTGTCCCGTGACAGTTACCCTTCCAGCCCCTTCCTCCTTTCAACTTGGTTAACCATCTCTGTATTCGAGGCCAATGTAATGCAACCAAGAAGCCCTCAGGGAGGCTGGAGTCAGGGAACGAGAACGGTGTCAGGATGGCACTTTTGCCCCTTTCTTCACAGACATTTCTGTTTTCTGCCCACTCACTGTCAGAACACTTAGTACTCTCTCCCAGTCTTGCAAATGAGGAATTTTGGGATGTATTTATTCTTTTTTAAAAGGTAAATACATTGGAGGTTGTTGTCATGAGATTTCAACTATGGAGTAAGTATTTGGATAAGGGGTTTCCTTCGTGAAATCTACAAGATATCTCTGCTCTGGTCTCACCTTTTCAAACCTGATGTCGTTGGTTTCTGTTTGCATTCATCATAATTAGTCAGCATTGAATTCAGCTTAAAAATGTTTATAGATCGTCTGCTATAGACCACACATTGCACTAGAGACACCAAAATGATTTAGTTGACTTCTCTCAAGAAACTCAAGAAATTTACTGTTTATGAGGCTAAGTAGCCAGGTACCTACCTATACAGTTGTGATCATAGTCCAGAAACTGTTGAAAAAAAGCAGCTTGTAGGTAAACTTCTTAAAGCAATTCTTGAGATATTATTGTCATGAGTTTATAATTTTTTATTTTCAGAAAATGGATAAGTAGCCAAAAGAATCACACTAGGAATGTTTTTTCCTCCAGTTAAAGACTTTTTTTTTTTTTTTT